TCAACGTACTCAATTTACCGTTATTTTATCAAGTTTAATGTACTTTTTTCTTATCAACTGATCAATATATACTGAAATAAGAGTTTTGAATAATACACGCGAACTGAATACCATGAAGATATTTGTCAATGGACATCCACCAGAATTTATTTTCATAATTGCAGTGGCATACTAATCAGTCTGTGGCTTTTGAACTTTATCTTTGAGGTGGATTACCTGATTAAATTCTGATTGGACATTGCTCTGGATTAAGATCAATTCTTAGAATTAGTAATTCTGTTACTGGTGCAAACTTTGAAAACTTGTTTGCAGTGTAAAGACCTGAGTATGCTACAGTACAGTATATGGGTAGTGTGTAAAAGATTACAAGAAAGGGTCTTCAGATACACTCTAAACAAAAAAGAAACATATTAGACAAGGTTTAAACCTTAATTAAACCTTCTTTAATTATTATAATTTTCTACATGTGGTATACATATACCACAGTATATACTGAGAGATTACTGAAAATTATTATTGGAACCTACAGTTATAGCATTTGTTACATTTAAATGCTTCTTAGTCTTTAAGAGAAACATAGTAAATACAATATATAAAAGTCACTGCTTTTTACATTTTTTAATCAACTGTTTATTTTATACTGTAAATGCACATTTACATAACTCTAAGATTATTTTTTCACTTTTACTCACCATGGGAAGGAAAAAAGAATTCAAATTCATTTTATGGCTTCTCAGTATATGTAACAGGTGTGGTTTCTACAAGTTATAATAGGATTTGCGTATTGCTGCCTGGCAGGTTAATGTTCACAGTCCTATCCATGGTTTTGTGTAGAATTAATATTGAGAATGCATAAGGGTTAATTATCTCTTTTCTAGCCTCCTCTGAGTACCTGTAATTAAAAGTCCACCCTTTGGCTCTGTATCTCTTTCTATTTCAAATAATGATAGAAGTTATGCATTGCGTATCAGAATAAAATTAAAATGACAGTAATTCATATGATTTGATTAGCTAAAAAGACTATCTGTAAATCCTTCATGCTTCTGTTTTTTTTTGGGTTTAGCTGTTTATATTGTAAATTCCATACTTCTTATATTATAGTTAAATATCATTTACAATTCTGGTATAATGCATAATATAATTCCACAATTTCTATTGAGTGTCTATATGGAGATAAAAGCACACTAAACCGGATAATTAGTGTATAAAGCAGAACCTTCATTTCAATAGGCAGAAACGAACAATTCACACAATTCACAAGAACAAGATGTGTCATGTGTCCCATGTACAGTATATTTGGGTAGCTTAAACTCAAGCATATTTCAGCATCTTAAAGTACAGGAGCACTCCCTGTACTGTCCATGCAATGTGTGTAATTACAGCTTGTTGGATACACCACATAATATTCCAATATGTTCAGAGATACCTGTAGACACACTTGAGTTGATTAAGACAAGGAGTTGAAAGTTAGAAAGCAGAAAAGTGAGCACATATACAGGTTTACTCACAAAATGATGTTTGATTTAGCTTTGAATGTTGCATTTATTGTAAATAAGATGACTATGAAAGCACCAGAGTCACCCATTTTGTTATATTTATTATTTTTATTTAAGGACTAGGAAGGATATCATTTGGTAATGTCTTTGATTAAAGACAAAGGACATTGCTTTTCAGTAATAATGAGCATTTAAATGAGGTAGTGAAGAACACGTGTTAACACAGACAATGCTAACAATACAGTCACAATTTGCTTAACTATAAAAATACAATACCATTTATTTTGAAAATGTAGACTGCATGTGGTTGTTTTATGCAGAATATTTGGTCTGTGAAATGTTTTTTTTCTGGGACAAAGGATTCATAGTGCCTTTACCTAGAAAAACAGCCTCCACTGCCCTCTGCTGGAAGCGTCGTCTCTGTCCATTACATTCTGTTTGTTGTGTGATTGTAAATTTACTGTATAGCTGTGGGAGAGGCTTTAGTGCTTTGATTTAATCAGAACTGTCAGGTTTAATAAGTGCATCATGTAGAAGCACACTACTCTACACACAGGGCGTATCTGATTTATTGGTAATTAGACTTCATCTTTATTAAACAGGCATTTTTTAATTAACATGAAATATGCAGTAAACAGCGTCTTGTGTTTCAGTAGTTTTGTTTTTATTAAATTCTACCTTCCATTGTAAAATATTTAATTTATACTGTATGTCAAAATATTACCTTTATAAATGTAATAACTGCCAATAGGTTGATGTAATTGTAAAATCTATCTTCAAAAGTATTGTGATGTGAGAAAACTAGATTTTTGTAGAAGTTGTATTGCATATTGTGAAATATTCAAAACCATAAAATTAGGCATATGTTTAAAATTGTACACAACAATTTGTAGTGAGATGCAATCTTGTGTGTTTTAGAATTTGTAAAAAAAAACAGCTTAATCTCATTCCTTTAACATGAACTAAAGCATCTCGCAAAAGACCGTATGGTTTTGTTTTGGTATGGTAACTATATTTGTGTGCACTACATACAGTATATACCCCAAAGTTAAACAATAAAGGACTCCTTCAAACTGACACTGTGACTACAAGAAGCCAGGAAGAAACTCTGTCAAGGCTGGAGAAAATCATTTCCCACTGCCTTTAGCAGACCTACAATACTGTGCAAATGTTTTTTGTTCAGTTTTATAAATTCTCTCTGATTTTTTCCAATGACATAACCATCCAAAATACTCTGCTAAGACAGTCAAAAGGTATCTAGAAACCTTCGGAGGACTCTGGTGTGAGGGGCCATGTGGGATTTCTATCAGATGTACACTCATGAAATATTTTATATTTGTCCTATTTCAGTTGTGCACTGGAACAATAGTGAATAACAGACCTATTTTATAACACCTACTTGCACTTTGTTCACTTCATGTCTTTTATTTCATTGCAATAAACCAAACATCTGCACAATTCCATGGACGTTCTTCTGTTGTGATAGACATAGAACTGGATAAAGATGCCTGTAGCTGGGTAGGTTCATATGTGAACAGTGTAATTTTTGATTGGCTGTACAATAGTTACCCCTATAATAATAACCCCTAGAGCTTGCAACGCATCTACACACTTTCTGGATTTTCAGTACAGGATGGATCAGTCCTCTATCTAATTTATCGGTCTACTGTTGATGCTTGAAGATCTGACAAGCGCTTTAGTTTTACTTAAATAATTTATTATGTTTGAATATGAGCTTCTTATACAGTATATAATCCATATAGTACGATTTTTGTTCATTTTTTTACCTTTCTCAAAAAATAAGAAACTGTTAATTAAACAACAACAAACACATGCACAGAGTTTATGCATGTGTTCAACATGTCTCTCATGTCAGCTCAAAAAGTGAGACTTATTTATTTTGACATTATCAATTTGGTATTCCGCCCAAAATTGCAGCATAAAAAAAAAACTGGTAAGTCACAAACAAATTCTCACACCGTTTTGCATGTTACCCTCCTGCTAGTATTGCACATACATTTTTGATACACTTTTTCAGCATCTAGTTATTGATAAAGCGTCCTGAAAAAGCTATAGTATGGGTTAACTGAGTGTATAATAATTGTATGTTAAATAGAAAGAAGTGATCCATCACCGTGCAATCCAGTTATTTAAAAAAAACCAATGACTCGAACCGGAAGCATAAAATGTGGTTTAGATTTGCCAGGCTTGAAATGTGCACAAAATGACATTAACTAGAATCATCATTAATATTTAAACGTTTCTGCGTGGATCATGTCTTTGAACTGAGTCAATTAAAGTGCACTGAATGTGAAGATTTGTTCACTTGTGACAGACCTTTATAGAGGCATGAAATTGTTAATAATGGCTAATGCTGAAGTTTATTCAATGCTTCAAGTCTTGTCTTAAATCTCATCAGAAATACTTTTACATCTCCTGAACTGCTTTGGTCCAACTCATTGGTGCAATGTTAAATGTAGTCAAAGAAACAGAAAAACATGTTTGCCTCTGTGGAATATTTTGCAGGAATTTTCCAAAGTCTTGAAATAATAATGAAGAGTATACAGAATAATTAATATTAATTAATTCCACTGGGTGTAAAAAAGAAGCCTTTGGCAAACAAAATGTTGTCATCAGGATTAAGTTTTGCAATTTGCAAATTGTAGGTAGGCGAGAGTTATGATTTAAATTAATCTGAATCATTAGAAAGGTCATCTTAATAACAACAAAAGTAATAATTTCTGCCTGGAGTTTCTCTGTTCTCCTCGTGTTAATGTTGGTTTCCTCCAGGTGCTCTGGTTTCCTCCCACAATCCAAAAATATACCGGTACGTTAATTGGTATTTGGGAAAATTGGCACTAATGTGAGTGTGTATTTCTGTGTCTTTGTTTGCCTGCAATGGACTGGCGTCCTGCCCAGGGTGTATCCTGCCTTATGTCCATTGCTTGCTGGGGTAGACACCTGCTCACCCCACGACCTTGAATTGGAAGCAGTGGATGGTTGGATAATTATAATCTGGATTTTCTCCAGCACCTTTGATAGTAAATCATTTTATGTTTTGAGTCTGTAACATTGTTTTCAAAACACTGAGACAAACAATATCCCTACACCACAAATTCAAAGAAACTAATTTTATTCTTTGATACTTGGGTACATATTTTGTTAGAAATATGATATAACATTATTAATATGCGTATTGAACTACATATTCACCTTCATAAATGGGAGCTGACAAAATCTTTCTCCACCAAACAGTTTTCTTGCAAAGTCCTGATAGAGTGGGATTCTACAGGACTTTTACCTTCATACTGTGTTATCAAAAGTGTGGCGTAAGGTTACTCACCCAGAAAAAGAGATCTCCATCAGTACAAACCATTATTCTGTTTTCACTGAACACATGCCTTCAGGCTTTCTCCACTTTGTTCCAAATTAAAATGGAAACAACTTTCACGTTTACATGATTAATATCCATTGATTTGCACACAGAAGCACACGACAAAACCAAAGGTTTTGCTGCATCTTCGAAACAGCAAACTGTCATGTTTAATTCATTACAATGCTACATTTCACATTGACAATACAAACTATAGCAGAGCTACAGTCTTTTATCCACTGATCTTAAAACACGCAGATGCAAAATATAAAATCGACCACAGGAATATAACAGAATTAAACTGTAAACAGATGGTAATGCCTTCCTGTAGGCATTCACATTATACAATATATTCTCCAATACAATGAAGTAAAATAATGCACTGTATTTCCACAGGCAATGGAAGTAACGTTATTGTACTTGTAAACATATCTTTAGTAATTGTAAAAATGAGAATAAATTCATTATCCTCAATATTGCTAAAAATGTCTTATTTCAAAACATTTTCATGTGTTTCATGACTTTCAAAACAGTTTATCATTCCACATACTGTACACAATATCAAAAGTCATCAGCTTTGTTTACCATGTAATTAAAAGTGCCTGTTGTTAAACTATTGCAGTGCATGGATTTCCACTCAGCCAAGCTTTGCGATAAATAAAGCAAACCTTAAAATATCTAGAAATGACATTAGAATATGTCAGCAGGGGCTGTGTTGAGCTAAATATCATGGTGAGTCACGCATCTCAAAAGAAGTGCTCCCTGACAGATGTTTTTACAGCAGCATGTGTCTAATTTCCGATTAGTCGTAGGTGGTAAGTGGTCATGATAGGACATTTAGCCATTGTTGTTGTACTCTGCATGATTCTATTAGGTGTTATTTGCCAGACTAAGAAGTACATTCACATCCTAGTTGTACAATGGTTTATACCTCTTATAAAGAGTTTGGTGTGCTTTGAACATCTTAAAATACACTCAATGTACAGTATAACACCTGTATGTTACAGCCATTCTGTTACTGTAGCTCACAATTTGTACAAAATTAAGCTTTGCTTGCACATGACTTGTCAACAGCATTTAATAATCAACAGAGTAGAAAGTTATCTGACAACTGCAAACCAGTCTCACCAGAACAAAGAATCTATACCAACAAGCAATTGTGATCAATTGATATTGGAATTCCACTCTGGAGACAGATTTACAGTATATAGCTGATTTATGTGTTTAATAATCAATGTATTAATTCCCTGTAAAGGAATATAGGAATGCACACAGTATATAATCAGCTCCTTAACATTAGTTTCTATTTTTTTTTCTTTTATAGAAAAGTGTTATGATCAACCTTCCATTTCCAATGTGCAATCAAGGACACTGTTGAAACTAAAAAGCTGTTGCATACATGGAATACACAGCACCTTTTGTTTCTTTTTGGGTTTTGCTAATGTTTATGTATACTATTAATATACAGTACTATTACTTACATACTTGTAGTGACAATAACATGGAAATGCAAACAGAAAAACAAATAAAATTAGAGTTTTACAGTACTTCAAGATTACAATATGATTGGCATGTATTTCATGTTTTGATGGCATTTACTTGATTGTAAATAAACATTTCCCCTCTTTCTTCTTATGAAAAAATAAGCTGATACAAATAAATTACTACACCTCTGAGTAACGGATTTGCCAAATAATCATGATGGGTTTTAAGTAGGAAATGTGAAACACTTCAACATGCAAGCATACAGTTAGTGTTGCTTATGGGATCTCTACGCATTTAGACATTCCTGACAGTGCTGACACATAGATTTGGTCAGCCTCTGAATGGTGCTGTAAGATGTCACACAATTCTGTCAGCTGGTAGTTGTCTGCTTTTGATGGTGTTGCAACTTGGTCCCACAAGTGTTGTACTGGACTCAGATCAGGAGAAAGATTCACCCACTATAGGATTCCAAACATTCTTCTCTGATGTACTGCCAATATAATATAATAACACAATAGTGGCCTTGGATTTTTCAACTGGAATATCAATTCTTATGAGCCGGCTTGCAGAAATGGTTTGATTCAAGACCTTTGTCAATATATCACTGAGTAGTAAGGTTGCACCCCACCTACACCAAAGGTGTATTCAGTGAATAAAACATTTCAGAATACTCTTTGCTTCCACCTCAGATTTTATCTGGCCCATAGAATAAATTTAATTCCTCAATTGCTCCTGTAACTGTAATTGTAATGTTTCTCCTGAATGTCCTCCAATAATTTTAGTGCAGATTAAATTAAAAATCATTTTATGTACATGACAATCTGCAGCCACTCTGATAATGTGTGTGTGTTACTGGAATGTCTCGTGCTGTAGTCATTGAAATTTGAAAACAATTAAGCAGATGGATCAGACAGGCTTGTGTGGTGACCTACTGCTTTCCATGATGTAGCCTGTCCCTCACAAATCTGATCTCATTGATTCTGTCAACTGACTGTTGGGACAGGACATCTTATTTTCTAGACAGCTACTGACAGAAACCTACATCATTCTGACAGGAATAAGGCTAAATTTTATGCTAAAGTAGGAGATGATAGTACAGTATATTGTACTGCTCTTATGTTAAATAGAATACTATTTTTAATAATGTCTGTTTATGCAGATTGTAATCAACTCATTACAGCACATTTGGCTTTAATGAGCACTTACAGTTACTTACTTAGTTTTTCTGAAATCACATGGCTTGAAATAATTATTTCTTGAGAAAAATCGCGAAACCTATCTGCCAATGAACTATTGGTGGAAAACTGTTGCATCTTCATTGTGCAACAGTATACATTGATATACACATTATCAATGATATGCCTTTTAGTCCCACACAGATGCTTTTAGTGTGAGGAATATGTTATCATGAGTATCAAAAGAAATTCTCTAAGAAAGTCTTTGGACTAAATTCCAGTCACAGATGGAATTTACCGAACTCAGAGAATCCCTTCAGTGTTCATTTTTTACTACGTTATTGTCCAAATTTGGTATAGTTCAATGTTCTATCTCATTTTCAAAGGACAGACTCTATGTTCTCACACATTTCATTGTCTCCTAGGTGGTAAATAAATGTAGTCCTTGCGGCAGCTGATTTTGTAGCTCCTACTGTGTCCAATGCCAAGGTAGACGCAAACAATTCTGTGGGAGTCAGTTTTTCAGTGCTGTCCTCATCTCCCTGAAGATATTTCTTGGGGTTGCTTTTAATGCATTGACCAGCCATTGTCATCAGAATGAAAGCTGCAGTCTTCAGTCCCACACAGATGCTGAAGTAGAGATATCTGTATGTTTCGTTGTTGTACACAGAGCAAGTTCTACGCTTCCCACAGGATTCTGACCACACAAGGCAGGTGGAGTCAATTGCTGCACCAAACACTAGAGGCATTGGGATAAAGGCTGTGGGAAAATAAAGATGAGATTAAGAAATGTGAGAAAGGCAATCTATTCTTAACCACACCACTGACTAAACTACTGGTAATCTTCTTATTTATTGAGAAAAGAAAATGAATTTAATGTACTAGAATAAACATGAAATGTGTTACTAGTATATGTTTCACTATACTGTATATTCTTATAATGAACAATGTTCACTATCTTTTTTTATACAGAATCTATTTATGCAATTAACAAGCTTATATAAGGTTTCTAACTAAGTGATGCCTGACTGTAAAAGCTACAGAATGTGTGAGTGGGGAACTGAGTCAGCATGCATTGGCTGCAAAGGAACAAGCAAAGCTTAATTCTACGCTGAGAAATAGAAAGGAGACACTGTTGAGCCTTCTTCAGGAGTGGAGAATAAGGCTAAAGAAGTCTCTACATCTGAAACTTTGTGTTTACTCTTTTTTGTTCAGCATGGAATTAACCTTTACTTGTTCCATCACAAAATAAAATGATTAAAAGATGGACTATTGAAAAGTCCCTTCGTATTAATTAAGGTTTATATGTATATGTTTAATTAAAAAAATGAATTATATTTGTTGTCAAAACATACATAACCAACAACATTGAATTACAAAATTGTGAAACCGTTCAAAGACTACAAAGAAATCTCACCAAGAACCCTGAGCAACAGAAACTGGATTCCAAGTGCGTATGACTTCAAATGGGGATGCACAGCCCTGAAAGAACAAATAGAGGTATTTCTGAGAAGGGTACTGAATCTCTAGTGAACTGTGTTAAGAATGAAATGATAAGGCAAAAGATAACTTCAAACCTAAGCTCATGAAACACCACTGCTGTATGTGCCAAAGGAGAGAAATTGGAATTTAAACTGGTAGTAATCCCTCCATCCTTCTCCAGAAAGTCACTTATGTTGATGAGGGCTAGGGTGCTACAAGGAGAAGATGATATAATTGCTTCTTTCAAGTAATAGCTGGATGAGTTCCTCGGATTACATAAAATCCAAACAAGTTGAATAATCTGTTTTTGGAAACTTTCTTAGCCATGTTAGATTTACTGAGCTTGTTATATCAGATTATTTATTATCAGATCTTTGTGAAGGTCACTGCAGACGTACTGCATTTCAGCATGGCTATTAGAGTCTTAAGATGTATTAGGAAAAGTTACTTTAAGGAAGTAATCACTTTTAATAAGGGATTACCTTTTAAAAATTAACAAGAAGCTGGGGGAAAATAATTTTAGAAGTGTATCAGTAAAAACGATCTATGAAATAGGTTAATACTACACAAATACATGACTTTTTTCACATCTTTTATACATCTAAAAAACAATTTCCCCCGAATTCTTCTTCATTTTAAAAACACATGTAACTTGTGTTTAAAGATGACTGCCCTCAATACGTCTTCAGTGAAATTGACCAAACAAATACATCAGAAAATAATATGTAAACAACTAGATAATTATCAATGTAAATATACTCTAAGAATGAAGGATAGTTATGAAATTTCTGCAATGAATTAATTTAAAGATAAAGGTTTGGACTAGGCCACCCCAGTTCTTGAGTGTCTGTCTCCTGCAGGTTTTAATGGCACTTTCAAATTAGCACCTGATTAAGACCCAGAAAACTCAGCTGAATGTGCTTCTTATCCACGTAATTACTTCAATTAACTTATTAAGGTCTGAGATTGAATGAAAACCAGAATCAAATGCAGCAGACTAGGACTGGGTTTGCCTACCCCAGCTAAAGCACAATTCAAGACTTACATAACATAATCTGCATGAAGTAGACTTCTGTTTGTACCTAGTGGACAGTATCTATTATGCAATGGGTATGTAATGTGTGGTTCAGTGGGTCTACATTTTAATCAACTAGTTCTTCAGTCCAGTCCAGTATAAATGCCTTTGTTGACAGACTACCCATTGAAAGTATCAAATGGGCTGCATGGACCAAATGACTTCTTCTTGTTTGTAACTTTTATATTCTTAAGTACTTAATACTTTAAATCAATCAACTTTTACTATCAGCATTAACTGAAAGTTAAGTCAGTTAATTTTCAGTTAAGGAGGAGGTATATTATTTTATGAAACCTAATAAGTATTTTATACAATACTGAAGACTAAAAAAATGACATCCAGATGAAAGATGTTGATATATACTGTATATAAAAACTTTGAAAATGTCTTTACAAAAAATATGATTGTTCAATCTATTACAAGACAGGAATGTTTACAACTGCTGACCCACCCATCTGATAATCAACAGGACGTTTTCTAAGAAAATTATTTCTACATCACTGATAAGCCACTTTTGTATTTTAAATACAATTGAACAAGTCCATCCTATTTTAAAATATGTTGTAAGGTAGAAAAGTAGGATGCCATTTTGTTTATGCACAAAAGAAATAAGCTGTGCTTTCTGCATGGCCATGTTTTGAGGGAAAGGGGAGCATTTTCACACTATATCTCAGAAGTTCCCATTTCTGTCATTGAAATCACATTGTTAGGGTTAGGTTTACGGAACTATAAAAATATTAGGTGTTGTTCCCTAATGTGTGAGAGTGAGACTGTATGCTCCTGAACCAGACTTAGACTCTGAAAGTTGTTTTTACAATAGATAAACACCCTCTGAAATTCTCCCATTTGCACACAGCTTGTTTTTTGTTTTGTGCACATTTTTAGACACATTGTTTATTCTTAGGGATTAATTTTATTAGGTACTTTTATCCCTGTGTACCCTTCATGCTTAATTCAGTTATACTGTACAGTATAACACTTTTCCAAAGATATCAATGATCATGTATGGTTTGCAAAATATCTGGTGTAATCATATGTGAATGTAAATTGATCACTTCATTATATGGATGTGCAAAGATGAATAATAACATATCCACTCTGTTCTGCTTTCCAAATTCTAGAACCTCATTTTTATATTTACCATAAATGAATTCATGGTTGGCATGGTTGCACTACAAAGATGCACAATGTTCATTTTGTACACCTTGAATTGGGTGTGTTACAGTACATTGGTGTCACATAATGATACAGAATATTACATGATTAAATTTACATTTATCTTACTCTTATATAATTGAAACAATAAAATTGTAATCTTTCATTTCCATCTGGACATTTTTATATTTGAAATATATACTGATGGGAAAAAGAAATGCAACACCTCCTCCTCCACATTCTGGCCCTCCCGTCTG